AATGCGAGCATGCGAGCAGCTACTGGTAGCCAGTGCAAATTAATGAACAGAGGTGTGACATGCGTTCTTTTCGGCTCATAATCTTGCAGTCTTGCAGCAGCATTTTGGATTAATTGTAGCGGTTTGATAGAAGTGGCTGGAAGTCCTGCCAAGAGAGCATTGCAATAGTCCAGCCTGGATAGAACAAGAGCTTGAACAAGGAGTTGTGTTGTATGTTCTGAAAGAAAGGGCCTGATCTTCCTAATGTTGTATAAAGCAAATCTGCAGGAACGGGTCGGTTTTAACAATGTGGTCTGAGAAATTCAGCTTATCATCAATCACAACTCCAAGGTTTCTAGCTGTTTTTGAAGGAGTTATGGTTGATGAGCCTAACTGGATGGTGACATTTTGATAAAGTGATGGGTTTGTTGAAACCACAAGCAGTTCTGTCTTAGCCAGGTTGAGTTGAAGGTGATGGTCCGTCATCAAACAAGAAATGTCTGTTAGACAAGCTGAAATGCGAGCAGCTATCGTCGGATCATCAGGATGGAATGAGAGGTAGAGTTTAGTGTCATCAGCATAGCAGTGATATGAAAAGTCATGTTTCTGAATGACAGAACCTAGTGATGCCATGTAGACAGAGAAGAGAAGTGGTCCAAGAACTGAGCCCTGAGGCACCCCAGTATATAGATGTTGCGACTTGGACACCTCACCTCTCCAAGATACCTTGAAGGACCTATCTGAGAGGTAAGACTCAAACCACTGAGTTTAAGTGGTTCAAACTTAAATGTTATATTTAAGTATTATTATTATTATTTAAAATATAATACAACTTAATATTTACATTTTAAATACATTTTATAATAATATTTAATTTATTATATAATTATTATTGAAATATTAGGATAATATTATTATCATGAAATATAATACTAATTCTAAATGATTCATAAATAAAGTAAAAAAAAAATTCTTTAGGAGTAGAGGTATGGTTTAGGTTTGGATTAGTCTTTAGTAGTTTTAAAGTAATTAACTTACAACAGAAACAACAGAATTCTACGGCATGTCTTTATTTGTATAAGTAAATGCACTTGTGTATGAGTGTGAACAATGCACGAGTCTCACCTGAACCCCTCCTTGCACACACACGTGTATCCATTGATGGCATCATTACACTCTGCTCCATGCTGGCATTTGTTCTCCAGACAGTCATTGTAATCCTGCTCACAGTGCTGGCCAACATACCCCGGCAAACATTCACACCTGAAGATAACAACAACAACACAACAGTTTAGATGCTAAAAAATCACTAGGATGTCCTAGCACTAGTTAAAAACACTGCTAACTATTTGGTAGTGATAATGAGACTTCATACCCCTGAGTGCAGTAATGCCCACCCCGTTTTTCAGCAACATTGGTTCTGGAAGTATTTTTCCCATAAGTATTTTAAAAAAGGTATTTGTTTAAGCGTTATAAGCCATGAACCAAACGAGTATATTAAAGTATAAAAGTATATGAAAAAAGTAATAAAATAATAAGTATATGAAAATCGGACAAAAAGACAACGTTTCAAGACTATGTCCTTTTCAGTCTTAGTGAGTGATAGAACTACAATTCCATAAAGCATTGCCGAATGAATTTAAATGAAGGAGAAATATAAACTATTAATTTATAACTTATTAATTTATAGTTTATAGTTTAATTTTTTAATTTTTTAATTATGGTTGTCTGCATAGTAATGACATGTATATATATTTATTTATTTATTTTGAGAATGCAGGGTCGACAGAGTCGACTATGTCATTCGCAGCACTTTTAATGGGAGTGGGCGGAGCTAAAGATCTCTTTTGGCACGCTGCGACCCCTGATTGGAGGAATTTTCTGTACAGCATCATGGGTAGTTTTTCCATTACAAATTCTGCTTTTAAGCAGTTAATTTAAAAGTAAGTTGAATTAATGCAAACAGTTGCGTTGAGGAAAATCATACATCCTCAGTGCTCACAACTGGTCTGGCTTTAATGTTTTATCAGTTTATTGTTAAAAATCCCTTTCCTTATGGAGAAAATGAATGGAGTTTTTACTTTTGGAAGCCGACTGTTGAACTCTATTACAGGCAGCACAGGCAGGTCACGCAGTCTTTCCTGTGAAGTTCTGAGCAGAGGAGCTCAAACACTCACCTGTAGCCCTTACTGAGGAGAACACACTTGGAGTCGTGTTGGCAGAGGTCAAACCCGGGCAGACAGGGGTCAATCACCTCCTCACACAGATCCCCTAAGAGACACACAAAGAAAAAAAAAGGAACAAATGACTGTAACAGTTGCCCTCTCCCAGCGTCCGGAGGTTTATCGCATGCTGAAACACTCAGGGCCTCTGCTGTCTACGGGTGAAGCTCACAGTTGTGTGGCTAAAGGAACTCTTTGACTGAACATACGGCATATGTGTGTCATGACCCTCCTCGAGGTGTTTTCGCCCCTCACACCATCTGCCAGCATTTAGACTGTGAGGCTTTTTCTCCTCCAGGCTCAACTGAAAACATCTTTGTGTGATGGCAAAGTCTTTCTAGAGCACACAGCTCAGCAGGGTCCATTCAAAGGCACTAAATCACTGCCAACCAGAACCTTCAATAAATTCCCTGTTCCTGTCCACCTGCTGTAGGACGTCCCGCCCTGCAACAGGCCGTTTTGGGTCTAAACCAACCTCCACATCCCTGCACTCATTCACCCAGATTCCTAGCATTTCCTGTCCAGCACACTTGTGCTGGTGTTGCTAGTTGCATGGCACAGCAGCAGCTAAGAAACAGATGTACCCTCTCCGTGCTCTGGCCCTTGAGACGGGGTTTAGGTGGTCTTCTGCCAGGCCAATTTCCTCTAGACTCTTTCTGCAGCAACTGTATGTGTTCTTCAGGGAATCAATTCAGTCGGTGTCTACAGTTGATGTTTCCTGCATGCACCTCACAGGCTGGAGTCTGGCAAAGGGTTTTTAAATCAAATCTGGATGTTGGTGGTAAGATTTGTACTGACTGATGTTAATACAGAACAATCCTCAGTTGTTAAAACACAAACTGAGATACAGAAATATAATGACAATGGAGAAGGAATGAATCTTTATAAGACTTGACCTTTGGCATTTGTGAGGATTCGACATTAAACAAGGATTGAAACACATTGCCTTTCCTTGTTTGGGGCATAATGGCATTTTGGAACATTTCTGTCGGTATGCTAACTTGCACTACTGTTAAAAAGTTTGGGGTTTGTATGATTTTTTTAATGCTTTCAAAAGAAGATGGTATGTATTTGATCAAAAATACAGTAAACTGGCAAAGTTGTGAAATATTTTTACAAATAATTGAAATAGCAAAATATGTCTATTTGAATATATATTAAAATGTCATTTATTTCTGCGATGGCAAAGCTGAATTTTCAGCAGCCATTTCTTCAGTTTTCAGCGTCGCATGATCCTTCAGAAATCATTCTAATATGCTGAAAAAGAACAGAATTTATTTGAAACAGAAATCTTTTGTAACATTATAAATGTCTTCACTGTCACTTTGATCAATTTAATGCAATCCTGCTGAATAAAAGTATTGATTTCTATCAAAAAAAAGAAAAATAATTTTTTTTTGAAAGGTAGTGTATTACTTCTTTCAAAAAGAGAAAAATCTTACCAACCCCAAACTTTTGAACGGTAGTATAAGTCCCAATATAAATGTAAAATATAAAAAGTTCCACAATGCCCATGGGCACAATGTTAAAACAGGAGAGAAAACATCATCAGTATATTAAATCTTCAACCTTCCTTCTCCCCTTTCATTTCACCCACATAATTACATACTTTTATTTGAACTAATGAAAAATATATTCTCTGTTGAGAGTCTGATCTATAGCCAGTCTGGTACAGATGACTGAGTGAAATGGAGAGAATAAGATGAGCACTGCATACTTTCTGTATGCAAGAAAAATCCCAAATTAGATTTTTGTGAAATATCAGAGCAAATGGAGACTCTAGCTTTAAAAGACTTCAGTAAAAAAGCATCCCCCCTAGTTCTATTCCTATTTTAATTCCTCTTTTAGGGGAAACCCCTGAGCCAAAGCTGATACTTTCATGAAACATAACTGAGAACTCCATTAACCTCTGAGCAATTACATTTCTCTCTTGCTTGGTTTAAAACTCAGTTTTTAAGACTCTGCTCTTTAACCGGACAGCTGTGTGTATCCTACAAGCTTAAGAATGTGGCCAGGCTTATACCGCAGCAAATACCAACTACACCCGCTCCAAGGGAGGTGGCAAAGAGGAATGCCATTATAATGACAGGGCCAGCTAGGAGCAGTTGCACTTCCTATTTTGAGGAAAAGAAGAGAGAACAAGAGCAGTGGTGCCACTGGACGGCATTTGGCAGATCTGAAGTGGAAATAAACAGACAGTTTTAACAACAGTGAACTTTAAATCTGCCTAGTCAGGACTTCTGTCAAAAGCTGGTTTGTTTAGTAAAACTGCCCACTACCAGTCTTAACATGCATATTATTTTGGATTCTTAATGTTTTCTTAGCCACCTCAGTTGTGGCTGGAGGATATAAATGCAATTGGCACAGTCATGCCAGTGAAATGGCCTCATTGACTGAGACAGACAAATAGGGTAATATGACTAAGAAAATGGTAACGAAGAGTCTGAAACAGTCTGAATGCGTTTACAGGCTGGTTTAATGAGGTTTAACTGGTACCTCTGTAGTTCGGAGGGCAGATGCAGGTGTAGTTGTTGATGCCGTCCACACAGGTGGAGTTATTCTCACAGTCGTTGTCTTCACAGTCATCAGGATTCAGCTCACACTGTTGGCCCTCGTACCCAGGCGGACACACACAGCTAGAGGAATGGGAAGGCACAGGACAACGATCAATACTTCAAATGTTACAACAACGCGTGGGTTTCAGTGATTTAGCTCTGTTGGGTGACACCCTGATACTGCCAGACTGATTTGTTTCAGGTCTGCAGCCAGAACAGTGTCATTTGTTGCCATTCATGTCTCATTGTTTGGTCTTTAAATGTCAACCCAACATCCCTCATTAGTGCACTGCTCACAGCCAACAGGAACACTGAGTTCTGGTTTTAACATGTACTGAACACATTACAGGGATAGTTCAGTCACAAATGATAATGTTGGCATGAACACAAAACAAGATATTTATTTATAACACTCTATAAGCCCTTGTTTATTGAGAATATCAGAATTTTGTAAGAAGATCTTCAGTGAGTAAATTTGAACTCACTTTTTTTTTCAAATACACTTTCTTTGAGGAAAAGAACATACTGAACATTCTGCTAAACATCTAATTTCGTTCCACCAAAATCAAGCAATATGATTACGAGTAGATGAGTCAAAAAGTTTAGTCAAAGCCCATATTTTCAAGGTCTTGGTCCTTGAGTCTGAGTTCAAAAGCATATTTTCATTGTATTGGTCTTCTCTTGTTGGGAGCATGAAGACACTGTCTTGACTCAGACTTGACTATTTTCTGGCCTCGGTCCTAAATTAGACTCAACCCTCTTCTGGTCTCCGTTTTGACTCAGACTTGACCCTCTTCTGGTCTTGGTCTTGAATCAGACTCAATCCTCTTTTGATCTTGGTTTTGACTCAGACATAATTTCTTCTGGTCTCAGTCTTGACTCAGACTCGACCCTTTTCTGGTCTCTACTTTAAATCAGACTCAGCCCACTTCTGGAATCGGTCTTGACTCAGACCCGACTCTCTTCTAATCTCAGTCTTAACCTGAACCTGATGCTCTTCTGGTCTCAGTCTTGACTCAGACTCAATGTCTTCTGGTCTTGGTTTTGACCTCAGACTCGAATCTCTTCTGATCTCAGTCTTGACTCAAACTTGATCCTCTTCTGGTCTCAGTCTTGACGCAGACTCTGCCCTCTTCTGGTTTCGTTTTCTGACTCAGACTCTACCCTCTTTTGATCTCTGTCTTGACTCAGACTTGATTTCTTCTGGTCTCGGTATTGACTCAGACTCGAATCTCTTCTGGTTTCATTTTCTGACTCAGACTCTACCCTCTTTTGATCTCTGTCTTGACTCAGACTTGACTCTTTTCTGGTCTCAGTCTTAGATCAGACTCGACCCTCTTCTGGTCTCAGTCTCGAATCAGAGTCGATGTCTTCTGGTCTTGGTCTTGACTCAGACTCTATCTCTTCTGGTTTCTCTCTTGACTCAAACTCGACCCTGTTCTGGTCTTGATCTTCACTGGGACTCAAATGAGCTGTTCTCAATTATATCACTGCAAATTACCTGCTAAAATTCCAAGCAGCCCCTAATATTTGCATTTTTCTCTGTTGTTTTGCCTTTCTGTTGCTATCCATTAGTCTTGTAGATCAGATCCATCAGTGACTGAGGCTCAGTGTTTGATAAACCTCCATTTCTATGGTGACTTGTTGAGCAATAGCAGTAAAACTTATCTCACTGTTTAGCACAACCCACACCCATCTGTATCCTTCCACCCAGTCCCTGCCCACTGGCTGCCAACTCTCAGGAGCTACGCCAGCAACCGATATATTCCACCTCCAGACACATAAAAACACACAAATCTCTGGGCTCATTTGTTGTTTTTTGTAAAGTCATTGTGCAACTCTGTTCCTGCTGGATGTGAAGCAGCTGCCCTGCAAAAATTGAATAGAGGCCTAACGTGACATTACCAAAGTTGTTGGGAGATTTATAGGACACAGGGGACATTTATTGTGACATTATAACAATCTGCCTGTCTCTTGCTTCTTTCAGATGTCCAGGGGTGTTACAAGCTTTGAATTTTTAATACACAGATTTTGTCCAGATGTGCATTGTAACAAAGAACTTTCAAATTAAATTATTTCAGTTTTTAAATCTTATTTATATCCTTTTTGACACTTATTCATAGTGATAGTGGAAACACTGTGCAGGCTACATTCAGATTTATGTTGCCAGCATGAGCACCAAAAAAAAAAAATCATAATTTCAAGCCACAGGTCCAACAACTTCACTATAAATAATATCAATAAATAAATATTATTTATACAGCTCTGAATGTACCTGTAGTGCCCGTCCAGTCCAGGTGTGAGGTGGCACGTGCCTCCATTAACACACGGCAGGCTGATGCAGGCGTTAATGGGGATCTCACAGTTACGACCCTGAGGAAAGAGAAAGCCTGTGAGCATGGATGAAGAAAGAGAGAGCTCAGGTTTTAACATGTCTGACCCTACATACTGGGACAAAGGTCACAATCAGATGGACACTTTCAAAGGTGAAGAGGTTAAAGAAATAAAAAGCCATCATCTACGGTATTACATAATGAGTTCTGAGTAAAATGTCAACTTAAATGTTAACCGCAATTTACCTTTCAAACAGGGTTAAGGAGTGGACATTAAAGCCAATGATTAGCGGTGCTTTCTATGGTTATTATTGTTGCTCATACTTATAATTAGGAATCCGTTTTAATCCTTTTAATTACCATCCAGAACACCCTAGCAACCACATAGCAACATAATAAAAACACTCAGAACATATTACCTGCATAGCCTATCCTGCAGCATTGTGGTGGCTAGTTTTGCACAGACAAGCACCACTCACATTTTCCTCAGCAAATGTAAAAATCTTGTTTGTTTACTAGTTCTATATCCAGGCCCAGAGCTGAGTTTAGTTTAATATCATGGTTTATGGAAGATGTATGTTGTGTCCTGATCCTTTTACACTCTGAGGCTGTAACTCCGTGACTAACTCTCTCCATTTCAATTTCAGACAAAGGCTCTTGCCACTGATATGCCTGTTTCCTCTGCTCTCCTCAAAGGGCACATATGCCTGTTTTCTTTCTCTCGGCCCCTCTGTTTTTTCTCTTTCTCTCTTCCCATGTTTGACTTAATTCAGTACTCTAGAACATTCTAATTAATCTTCACTTATTTCGAGGACAGACGCACACCTGGAACTGACCTTGAGAGCTGCGGTTTTAATTAAAAGACAGCTCACTGGTTCTGTCTTGTAGAGGGCGAAGGGTTAAGCTCTTATCTGTTCTTCAACAGAACAACACTGACAGGAATCCCATAACCAAACAAAAGAATAATGATTGCATGCTGCATCCAGAACACGCACACATTCGTAAACCACTTTTTGTGTGAAACCGAGTCTGTTTGATATCAAACTTTGGTTCGTTTGGTTTTTTGAAGCAGTTTTTCAAGTGTTTTTCGATGTGCATCAGCAATCTGCAACCCAGTCTGCTTGGAATGATGGTCTAAAGTTTGGTTCATGTTTATAATAGCAATCTGTTCAAACTCACGGAAGTGAACTGCCACTGATGCTGCATAATTTACATTTTTGTACGTTACCGCCCGGTCACACTTATCATTTCTCATAGCTGCTTGTCTTTGAATAAATTGCTTTTGAAGAGCAGCTCACATTCTTCACATCCCTTGCAATACATTTGCCATCAGCCCAAGACCTCACCGCCAAGGTCGCACCACTGAGTATGTATCCACTACACAAACAACACCTGCCTGAGTACAATAGGAAATAATCAAGAAACTTCAGATCCAGCGAGTTCAGCTCGGGAAGATGGATGATGAGGCTCTCATGCATGTAATGATGCACATAACTCATAGGAGTATTCTGTACACGCGTGCACGCTGCCTGAGGATGTATGTGGGGCGGTGGATGGTCACTCACCTTGTAGCCAAAGGGGCAGGTGCAGTGGTAGGAGCCCATGACATCACTCACACATGTGCCATTGTTCTGACAGGGACTCGCCCGACAGGGGGCGCACTTGGACATCAGATTCAAATCTGCTGGACCTGAAAGACACACAACACAACATGTGAAGCATAAATGTGTGGACGAGAAAGGGAACAGGAAATAAAAGGGAGTGGAGGTGACATTAAGGTCAACATGAAACAAACCTGACCATATTTCTTTGCAAAACTTTATCTGTGCATGTTATTACTAGAAACAAAATCGAAAAAGCAGAATTACCATTTATCAAAATATAATAACTTGTCTCTGCCTCTGAAACACTGTTATTTTTGTATTATTTATGTTCTATTAAGTATGTATTTATTATTTTGCATTAGCTTTTATTCTCAAGTTTTCCCTTTAATTTAAGTTTGAATAATTTTGTTATGTGCTTTTGTCATTTTATTAGATTTTCTTAAATATTTCTATTTATTTCAGTTTTAGGTATTCAGTACTTTTTTCAGTTAGTTGCAAAGGCAGCATTTCTAATTTTCATTTTTAAAGTTTTTCATCTAATATTTATATTTTATTTGATTTAATTCAGCTTTATTTCAGTTACAGAAAACTTATTTTTTTGTAGTTAACAATATTTCTCAACCCTTATCCTTCAACCTGACTCCATTCTGGTATGTAATGTCCACTTTTAATGATCCAATAAATTCTGATCAAATCAAATCAATTCATACCCTACAGTTTTTTCTCTCCTCAAATATCTTGTTTCATTCTGAAATATTGCCATTGCAAACTTAAACACTCAGAAAAAAGGTAGTAAACTGGGGTGGTACTCTTTGAAAAGGTACCAATACGTGCATTTTATGTACTAGTATGTACCATTTAGGGGTAAAGAAGGTACAAAGATGTACCTTTTAGCTTTGGTAAGATAGGCTACTGAGAGATTTTTGAGAGTGAAGAGGCTCAGCATCACTGCTCTCACGCTTAGTTTTTGGACGTTGACAATGTTATTTAGGGAGAGAAAGAGAGCGGAAATTGAATCAGGACCTGGTGCAGACCAAATTGAAATGTTGTGTTTGCCATACGAGCACCACGGCTCAATGTGCCTGGAGCAGATGTGTTATCCAGCAGAAAAGAAGACAGACTCACCCTTGCACTGGAATTGACTGAGAGGGGTGGTAAGCAGCAGGCGGTCTGCCATGCCGGGTGGTCCAGTGCAGCGGGCGATGCCAGGCTCTTTAAACCCAGCCTTCACCCACTGAGACAACCAGCGCAGCTCGCAGTCACAGTACAGGGGGTTTGCACCCAGAGCCCTGGATCACACGAACCGGGTGTTAAACTTTGTTTGAAAGGATAAATGCATTAGAATATCAGTATGATTCATTGGCCAAGTGGATTTTTCCTTGTGAATACAACTCTTCCTTACAAAGCCAACTTCTTCGGTTACTACAAACATCCCAATTGCACTTCCTTCAATTCAACAGGCCCTTTATTCCTCAATGGGGATTTTTCTCTGACAGTTCTTTTCAATGAGGAAACAAGGAGCTACAGTAGCCTCGCTCCAAACCAGCAAGAGGTACTACAGCCGGAGAGGAAAAAAAACACCACCACCATAAGCCTCCATAATAGATGCCTTTTAGCTGTAATAAAATTTACAAAGATTCCCTGTGGGGCTCGGTCTCCGAGCGCAGAGCACAAGGCTGCACTCTCTCTAGGTTGCACCCGGTAATGAGGTAAAACCTACATCGAGTCTAAAGACCTGAGTTGGTCTCTAAGGTTGAGACTGGGAGTCCATCATTAATAGAGGCAGAGACAGCATGCTTTTACACACACACACACACACACACACACACACACACACACACACACACACACAGGTTTGTTTTTGTGAAAAGTGGGGACATCCCATAGGCGTAATGGTTTTTATACTGTACAGACCGTATATTCTATTGCCCTACACCAACCCTACCCCTAAACCTACCCCTTACAGGAAACTTTCTGCTATTTCAGATTTTCAATACACTCCATTCTGTGTGATTTATAAGCGTTTTGAAAAGTGGGGACATGGGGTAATGTCCTGAAAAGTCACCTTCTCCTTGTAATACCTATGTCATACCTTTGCCATTATACAAATCTATATCCTTATTTGTCACAAAAACACACACACACACACACACACACTTACAGATGAGACAGAGATGTCAAGTGGCTGAAGGCTCCCTCAGGAATAGTTGAAAGGTCATTTCCGTGGAGGGTTCTGAAAGAGAAGAATGAAAAGGAAATGAAAAAAAGGCATGGAGCTCTGGGAGTTGGTTTCATTGTTTTCCACACTATAAACGGAGAGAGAGAAAGAAAGGGTCATTCACGGCATTTAGTGCGGATTATAGAAAACCGCTGCCGTTTAGTGAGGCACCGGTGGGAACGGCAGATTTGCATTGAGATTTCATTGTATGCTGTGTCAGTTCTGTTTAATAATTTCTCCTGTTCTATTTTGGGCCGCTCGACCAACACATATACTCAGACCGCAACCTGAGAACATGATTGGACAGCTACAGGCCCTTGAGGGCACGTCAGCGCTGGCCCTGGGGCATTTTGGGAAATTAAAAAGTGACAATGATGACTGCCTGGCAGACTAAGCTTAAAGAGGCCAGAATAAGATGGGCGTCCTTTGGTCTGTTTACGGTATCTGTGCACACAGGGTGTTGATAACGTATCCAGCTTAATGCAGACAGATATCCAAGGGTGTCTCTTCAACTATAGTCACACATTTCAAACTTCATTTGTATTAAACAGACATTTCAAACAAACATTTTTATTAAACTGATCAAATCTGACAAAAGACATCTGTTTCGAATGCAGTTTTTTTCTCTGTTCTAAGAAACATAAAAAGTATCACGGTTTCCAAAAACAATTCCCAAACTTTTGAACGATACTATAATTTTCGCATAATAATTATTGACATGATTCATATTTATTTTGCACTTTGTTTTAGAGTATTATACTTTTAAATTATCATAGCAAAATTTATATTTTAATAGATTTTTGTACAATGAAAAAATAGGTGTTGAAATAATTACAAAGAAACAGCAAATGAATTAAACAAAATTTTGAAGCAGAAAAACTGAAATAGCATTTTTTTTTGTAAACTGAAATCCAATAATCTTTGTTTTAATTTACAGCTACAAAAAATATTTTTACAGTGTGGTTTTGAGTTTGAGTCTGTAAATAGTCTGGTAAGCAACAAAAATAAATCATGAAGGCATGGTAAAAAGTTTCCAAGACCATTTTAATGTGACTTTCATATAACCAAAAGAAAAAAATGTACCCACAGGACTTAAGTGTTCTTAAAATCTATTGCTTTGTTCCTTCAGAACTTGCTTATGCTGTGAATGTGCTGTTCTAAAGCAGCTTTGTTCAGGCAGTAATCTCCTGAAGTTAAGTTCATAAGGCAGGTGTTGTGGTGCATGGGGAGTGTGTGTGTGTGTGTGTGTGTGTGTGTGTGTTTGTATGTGTGTGTGTGTGAGAGAGAGAGAGATTGATGTGAATATGCAGCAGATCGCTGGTTCATCAGGTAAAAAACAAAAGGGAGTCTTACAGCAGGCGGAGAGAACGCAAGCCATCAAATGCATGAACCGGGACACAGCGAATTTGATTATAGCTCAGGATACTGCAGAGAAAGAGAGAGCGAATATGAGTGATACACAGAGACAGTGAAACAGTCATTTAATGTCAACATTTCTGCCCAAATTTTTGGAAGTAGTGATCAAGTTCACATGACGGCACTGACAAACTCATATGTGGACACAGAAACTGTGTCTGATTGTTGGATGATGGTGTAAACTTACAGGGTGGCAAGCTGCGTCATGTTGCTGAAGGTGAGAGGGGCAAGAAGACTGATGCTGTTATTACTGAGGTCTCTGCAGAGGAAACACACACAAACACACAGCAGATCCAATTACACACCCTCAGAAGAATGTCTACAACATGCCTTCACAATCCAAAGCCAGGTTTACTCTTAGAAAAGAGATTTAATCGCAGTTACTTCATCCTGGTTAAATAAAGTTTATTAATTAATGACTTCAAACGTGCATAAAAACTGAACCGTAGACAGCAAAAAAAAAAAAAAGAAAAAAAAAAGGCAGTTGTGTTTGCCAGAAACTCACTCAGTTATAATGTTTGAGGGATTATGGGATGGCATGTTGGCATATTTTACAACATATTATATTTCCTTAAAAGGTTGAAAGTTATTGCAAGATACTTAAAGCACCAAAAAATGCTTTGTATACCTTAAAAACTTTACTGATAATTACCATCTAAGTACACATGCCAATACAAAGTCACATGATGAGTTCATCATAAGTGGCCTGTCTATAAAATATGGCTGATTTTAATACATAAATGGTGCATATGCTCACAATCACACACACACACAAACCCAGCATCAAGGGTAATGCGCAAGATACTAAAAAATGCAATAAACGTTAACTAAAGCATAAAATTATTTAAATAAAACACAAAACTGGTATGTGTCACACAGAGACTACTGGGAAAGTCGTTTTTCATGTTTTTAACCGTAAACTACACAGTAATTCATAGCTTTTACAGTAATTTGACAGTTTAATTTTATAGTATTTTAGTTATTTTGACAGTTTAATCTTACAGTAAAATTTCATAACATGCAATTTTAAACCATTTACAATTCTTCACCATATGCTAAGGTAACTTACAGTTAAAACAATTAACAGTTTTTTTTTTCTGTAAAAATTACAAACTTTTTATTATTATTAAAGGGGTCAAATGATGCTGCTAAAAAGAACATTATTTTGTGTATTTGGTGTGATGAAATGTGTTTATGCGGTTTAAGGTTAAAAAAACATGTTATTTTCCACATACTGTACATTATTGTTTCTCCTCTATGCCCCGCCTTTCTGAAAAGCGTTGATTTTTACAAAGCTCATCGGTCTGAAAAGTGAGGTGTGCTCTGATTTGCCAGCTATCCAGTGCGTTGTGATTGGCCGAATACCTCAAGCGTGTGACGGAAATGTTACGCCCCTCACCATTCTGTGATGCCCTGTCCGGCCGGAGCGACGCGACAAAAACATTAAAACCCATTATAAACGAGGCATTTGTTGCATCCAGTGGGGACATAATTACTGATTATAATGATTTATACTGTCTTTTTACACGTTGCATTGCATTGCACCATGTAAACATAAAACCATGTCTGCATTTGTGATCGGCGAAATGACAAACAACAAGCACTACTCTACACTGCTCAAAACTCGCGTTTGAATCATCAGTGGCAAATTCTTTAAATATAAAAAACTTACAGTCTGTGAGTCAGAACAGCCGGCATTGTAGTCTACTCTACCAGGACCTCCATAAAATGCGCTGGACACATCTGAATATTTGGGTTGAAGTGTTCTGGAACAGTGTTGTAAATACAACTTAACCACTGATTTCTAGTCGTGTCCTCTTTTGGAAGACCAAACAAAGTAGTTTCACTTTCACAACGAAACACACGGCGGGCTAGAGTGAGCGGAGGCGGGCGGGCTTGAGAACGGCGCAGCCGGTGGATTCGACGAAGGAGCGTCCGGCGGGCTTGCGGCAACCACATGTGACGACCCCGGGCTGAACTCCGCTTCGTCCATGGTGAAAGCCGATCCTGCGATCCAAAGCACGAAGTTGATGTATTTCCTCAGCGACCAGCACGGATCAGCTCCAGGCATGACAAAGCGGATATCGTCCTCTTTTGGAAGGCCAAACAAAGTAGTTTCGCTTTCACAACGAAACACACGGCAACAGGAATACTACAGCGAGAATCAAAGTTACGCCTTCTTTCTTTGCGTTTACATTTGGACGGTGTTATGCAAATCTTCCCACATCGTGAGGTAGACATGTGGGGGCGTGTTAGAACAAGCCGTTTTAGGTAGGCATGGCTGACTCTTAACTGTTATAAAGAATATCCCTTTGGATTTGAAACTTTAGTCTTTGCAACTTTACAGATCTTAAGTAACACTCCAAAGAGAAAGAAAAAAATTTAAATCGCATCATATGACCCCTTTAATATTATTTACAATGTGAGACGATATCTCAGATTTGCTAAAACGTAACAATTCCTGCAGCTTTGGAAATACAAATAATTCTGTATACTTAAAATAAACATACAAATGAAGGCATTAAATGCATAGTGGGTCCTTTTGGATAATAGCGTGTGGCAAATGAATAAATTAAATGAAAAGTGGAGAAATACATACAGCAGTGTCAGTTGTTTCAGACTAGCAAGCTCTTTGGGCACGGAGGTAAGGAGATTTCCTTCCAAGTATCTGAAACGGTAAGACAAATCCTGTTAACAGGCAAGTTTACAATCCTCAAACAAGCTATAAAGTAAAACCAGATTCATTTTAAATTTCATTTCATGCTTAAAAATACATTTTACATCGGAAGAAATAGACTTATTACCACAAAGCGGCTCTAGATGTAGAGGAGTTACAGTGAGCTGCCTTGCTGTCTAGTGTAGCTGAAGTGTAGCTGCTGGGATTGCTTATCTACAAAATTTACTCTTGGTATTATATTCAAAACTATGACACAGGAGAAGAGGTCAATCCTGCTGGAGTTTTCCTGTACAACCCAAGAACAATTACTGTCCTTCTGCTGAAAAACCGACAGCGTCAAGGCAGGATATTTCTGTTCACCACACTCGCCATTAAAACCGCTTGTTACATCAGTCTCTCCTTGTCACTTGTTTGCATTTCTTTTCTTCTCTTAGTCACTGTCGTCTTGTTCTATTGCTTCCCTGTCTCTCCATCTATCCCTTTTCTCGAAGTATGAGTATGAGCTGCTCTTATCGAGTTTAAACGACAGTGTCAGCAGTTCTATGAAGGCGCTGTGCTCACTCTTCATCTGATTGGTTCAGTAGATTATGACTGACACCTTAACTGTGCAACAACTCACTACCCCTCATACAATCAGAGTGACCCATCTCAGAATCAATTTCAGAAAAAAGGTCTGAAGCTGTCACTGAACTAAACTGAAAAAGATGAAAACATGACAGGAAGGAGCTGGAAGGAGAAACTCACACTTCAGTTGTATCTTTAGGGATACCCTTAGGCAGCGAACGCAGCCCCCGGTTACTACAGCGCACCACTGTGTCCGAGCATGAGCAAGAATCGGGACAGCGAGGGGCCGACGGCAGACAGACATTCTCTTCCGTACCTTAGAGAGGAAGATATGCATATTTTATGCTCCTTTACATCATGCAAGACAAAAACGTAATATGTGCTGCTAACAGATCTAATATAGAAACTCATCAATTCTTTAAAAGGAAGTAATGGAGGATGGAGAAAAAGAGAGAGAACGGATGAAAGTGCACAGGTGCTGCGTGCACCAAATTGCATTGCACCCTCTCTGAAAATAGCCTTTTCTCAGGAATGTGGGTCTCCAAACATGGGTATCATTATTACAGCGCACGCTTGCTCATAATAAGTGATACAGTGCACAGGAGTTTAAAATCAGCAGCTAAATATTGCTTTTGGCTTCGCTTGCTCCACATTTCCTGCAAGCAATACTTGTAGCCTCCTCCCGAGCTGCTTTCATCCAAGCTCTTTAAGATGCTATCTGTAAAAGGCTGAATTGCCCTATAGATTAAAAAGAAACAGCGAATTAAGCCATTAATGGGAGGTAATGGAGACTGAGATATACTCCAACAATAACACACAGACCGAGTCTGGAAGGAGAACGCTGGATCTGGATGTGCCTGCAAACGTAGAAGAGCCAAAGGGGCTGTGGGCTAGTTTTACAATGACTGGACTCTTTCAAACGACCAAAAATATCTTCCCGTAAATCAATTTAGCTTGACTTTGTTACTCTAACTGTAATTGCAGAGCACTGAAATAGCTGGATGTTGTGGTGGTGAGTTGTTTGGAGCCGAAACGAACAGAATAACAACACATGAGCCCTGACAGACAGCTTCTTCTAACTAATGGACCTCGAGCCAGGGCGATTTCTCTCACTTTCAACCTCTTTATTTCAAAGTGCTTCGCCCGTCTACAGCTGAGCAGGCTCTCTTAACACGATATTCCCTGAAGCAGCAAAAGAACTGTTTCTACCATAGCTTTGACAGGGAGGCCTTCTGAAACACAGGACCCCAGCCAGACAGAAGCCAAACCGCAGTTTCTTTTTCTCTGTTAAACTTTATGTCGGTCTCGAGAGGTTCTGTTTTCCCCCTCTTTATGGACACAAGTTCTTCCCTATAAAAACCAGAGTTGGAGAAGATAATGTTTAGGCCTCATGAAAATTTGTCCTCATGCTGCCCTCTCAGTACGGCCTTGTGGGAAGCTGGCCGGGTGTGATTTACCCTGACGCTGGGAAGCAGGGAGAGGGGGATGAAGGTGTGGGAAATCCGAGGAGAAGGAGTGGAGAGAAAGCCTCGGTCTGGAAGGAGGCGATGCAGCGGCCTGAACTAAGCAGCGTGATTTCATGGGAACTGGAGATGGATGTGGTGTGGATGGCACAGGTTACAAGGCAAATACTAGCTGAGGTCTGCAAACCCTTGTTCAGCGTCCTGACAGTGCGACTCTGGTTCATGAGGAACTGCTTAAAAGGCCAGTGTGGACATAAAGGAATAGAAGAGTATGAAAGAGAATCAACATTATATATACATATAATATATACAGTATATAATATATATATATATATATACAGTGCCTTGTGAATTTATTCATACCCCTTCATTTTTTTCACATTTTGTTTTGTTGCTGCCTTATGTTAAACTGCTTTAAATTAGTTTTTTCCACAACAATCTACACTCCATACACCATAATTGTCAAGCAAAAAAAACATTTTAACATCTTTGCAAATGTATTAAAAATAAAAAAATAAAATGATTCCATTGCATAAGTATTCATACCCTTATCTGGGACAGTTGAAATTGAGCTCAGGAGCATTCATTTTGCTTGAAGATGTTATTACACTTCAAGTGAAGTTAACCTGTGGCAAATTCATTTGAATGGGTAATGATTTGGAAAGGCACACACGTCTTAATAAAAGGTCTAACAGCTGACAATGCATATCAGAGCAAAAACCAAGCCCTGAGGTCAAAAGAACTGCCTGTAGAGCTCAGAAACAGGTTTGCATCAAGCCACACATCTGTGGAAGAGTTCAGAAAAAAATTCTGCTTCATTGAAGGGTCACAGAAGCATGTAGTCTCTGTTACCCTTAATGGAAGAAATTTGAAACAACCAGGACTCTTCCTAGAGCTGGCCTCCTGGCCAAACTGAGCAATTGATGGAGAAGGGCTTTGGTTAATGTGGTGACCAAGAACCTGATGGTCACTCTAGTTGAGCTCCATGATCATATGTGGAGATAGGAGAAATCTACAGAAGGACAAACATCGCTGCAACACTCCACCAATCCAGTCTTTATGGCGATGTGGCCAAACTCAATCCTCTCTTCAGTTAAGACACATGAAAAC